GCACAACAATATACTCAACTCTTTGAGACACGTGGCAGTAGATAAATCCTCTCCTATGCTTTTCAATTGCCCACACCAGCGTATTTCAATTTTTTGAAGAGAGGACAGCCCATGGAGGTTCGGTAAGGACATCAAACCATTGCAGTATTCTATAGTCAACTCTTCGAGACACATGGCAGTAGATAAATCTTCTCCTATGCTTTTCAATTGCCCACACCCATCTATTTTAATTTTTTGAAGAGAGGACAACCCATGGAGGTTCGGAAAGGACATCAAACCATCACATCGCCTTATAGTCAACTCTTTGAGACACGTGGCAGTAGATAAATCCTTTCCTATGCTTTTCAATTGCCCACAGTTGATTATTTCAAATTTTTGAAGAGAGGACAGCCCATGGAGGTTCGGAAAGGACATCAAACCATCGCACGACCATACAGTCACCTCTTTGAGACACGTGGCAGTAGATAAATCCTCTCTTATGCTTTTCAATTGCCCACACCTACTTATTTCAATTTTTTGAAGAGAGGATAGCCCATCTACACTTGGCATGGACATCAGGCTATGACAATCCTGAATATTTAACTCTTGTAGACACGTGGAGTTAAATGGAGCATCATCTCCAATAATCTTCAATTCCTTGCATTGCTGAAGTTCAAGTACCTCAAGAGATTGTAATTTACTAATCATTGGAAGATTAACCAATTTACCACAACTCTCTATGTGTACTTCTTTGAGAGACTTCATGGCAACTGGTCCAACCTCTATCCCAACCAGTTCTTCACATTTCTTAATGATGAGTTTCTGAAAGGACGAATCTGCAATGCTTTTCAAATTCTGGCAATAATAAATTTTCACCTTTGCTTCCTTGCTGAGTGACAATGATGGAATGCTTTCCAACCAGGGACATTTAGAAAAGGTCATGAACATCAGATTTTTGAGAAAATTTTTTGTTTCTAACATCCATGAAGGACAACTTTTACCCCAGTAGTGTTTAATAGTTAGGCCTTTCAAATTTGAATGAGGTTGGAGGCCTTCCAAGATATCTTCATCATTTTTGCATCTATCTCCATCATCTTCGCATCTATCTTCATCATCTTCGCATCTATCTCTATTGCCATTGGATTCCTCATAACACATCAATTGCAACCCCTCAATTGTATCCTTTTTCCTAAACACCAATTGCAACTCCTGAATTGCATCCTTTTCAGAAAGACTTGCTCCCATGGCTTCTTCTTTGTCTCTAACCCTATCCAAATTACGAATCTTTAATTTTCTCCTGAGTTGGTTTAAACGCCCCAGTTCTTCAATTTGATGTCCCTTCTGTTGGCCCACAACAAATAATTGTAATGCTTTCAGACAAGTTAGTCTACCAATCCCTGCTGGCATAAGCTTTCCATTATTGAAACAAATGTGTCTCAAATTGAGTAAATCCCATATTCCTTCCAAAGGCCTTTCAATTCTGTAGCAATCCATAAATCTAAATGTCTGCAAATGATAGAGCTTGGTGATGAACTTGGGAAGTTCTTTGATTTTGGTTCTCGAAACATCCAAGAACTTTAAATGCTTCATTTCCCCCAAAAAAGCTGGCAACTCATCAATTTTAGCTCCACAGAAACTGAGAACCCGCACCTTTGTCAAGTTCGTTGACATACTGTGAAAGACATCAATTTGTGAACACAAAGTGCGCAATTTTTTAGGGACATCCCCTAATTTTGTTGTTGTCAGATCCTTATCAGAAATGACATTCAAATGTTGAATGTTTGCAGGAATATTTCTTCCGCTACCATCTTCCAAAATCAAAGTATGGGACTTTGAAACAGATTGTGCAAGATCATGAATTAAATCATGCATTTTGCAAGTAATAATGCTCCCATAAGGATCTCTTTCAACATCCTGAAATAAAGAATATGATGACAATGCATTGAAATACTTATCACCGACATCCTCCATCTCCAAGTGTGTTTCACTAAATGGCTGAAGAAATCCTTCAGCCATCCAAAGTTGGATTAACATCTCCTTTCCCATGACAAAATCTTTAGGGAAAATAGAACAAAAAGCAAAACATTGTTTCAAAGCAGGTATTGGCAAGCGATTGAAACTCAACTGCAACACTCGTAGAACCCCATTAGCTTCTTCTATTGAACCCCATACTTCACTATTATCTTTAATTGATAACCAATACTCCTTCTTCATATTATTGCACAAAATCCCCCCAATAACATTTGCAACCAACGCTATACCTCTACATTTGCAAGCAATATCCCTTCCAATCCCCTCCAATTCTGAAGAGAATGATGAGTTGACAAATGCTCTCTGCTTGATTATATACCAACAATCCTCATCTGTTAGCTTCTCGAGATGATGCATGTGCTTAGAAAGTGTTACCACAGTGGAAGCTACATTTTCACTTCGAGTTGTGATAAGAACCCTACTCCCAACTTTTTTACCTATTCCCAACAAACAGCTCCTCAAGGATTCCCATTTTTGCCAATCTTCATTCCACACATCATCTAATATGAGAAGATAATTTTTCTCCCTCAATTTTTCCTCCCTCAATTTTTCTTCCCTCAATTTTTCCTCCCTCAATTTTTCCTCCCTCAATTTTTCCTGTAGTTTTTGAACTACAATATCTTGATTTACATCCACAGAAACATTTTCACCACAAGCTTGCAACATCTCTACTAAAATTTGTTTCAAATTAAAATTTTCAGAAACACAAACCCAAATTAATTTGAAAAAATGACTCCGTATTTGCTCATTGTCACATACTAGTTTGGCCACAGTAGTTTTGCCTATGCCTCCCATACCCACTATGGATACAACAAGGAGAGGTTGATCATTACTTGAGTCAATCAATGATTCAACGACTTCTAAGACCTTATTTTCTCTTCCTACAAATTTTGATGGATCATCAATTAAGGAATCTGTTTGTTGGGTTTCTATATGTTCAGGATGCTTGCTTGCAAGTCTTTGTTGCAGCCCTAAGTCAGTGGCTATCTTATTAAGACCATCTAGTTCTAAATTTAAACTCTTAATCCTGTTCGCCATCTTAAGGCGAAAAGCTAAAGGATTGAAAAGAGTAGAGAAGTAGCTGACCTTTTCCGACATTTGAGCTACCTTGCACCGCAGATTTTCATATGCAATTTCATCCATCATATCGTCAGCCTCTTCAGCTTGACTCCGAAGCCCTTCAAGCCAAGGCTTCAGAACAGGGTCGCCTACCATTCCCTTCTGCTCTGCATCCTGCAACACACCCTGGATCATTTTCAGCTTGCGATCAAACCTCCTCAGCTCCTTCTTGAATCCGCCAGCTAAGTTGAGCTGCTCGTTAACAACTGAAATCACCTTGGATAAAATGACATCCAAAACAGAACCGAGGATCAGATCAGCAGCCATATTTGGTCAAGTAGTTTGGAAGAGAGAAAT